TACAATGGCATTGAGAAAAAAGTGACTGATGACCATTTTTCACACTTAGCAACCATTTTCACACTTAGTGACCGTTGCAGCATACTCATAGAGATGTGATCAAAATTTTGATGTTTGGCAACAGTTACAATTTATATTTGTAAATTGTAGTTATGTTGAAATAAAAAAAAATATTACAATACTATTTTTGCGTTGTATGAAAATTTTTGTTGCTCCCTATAAAAATTTTAATCAAGCCCCCACCCCCAGTCAAAGGTGTCCCTCTTTACCAATCTGAAAATCTGGTCACCTTAGGCATGCGTGCTATAGGTTCGCCATCATGGACCTAGAAGCATCCTTTGTAATTCACCATGGAAAGAGGGGGAAAAAACTAGACATGGAAAACAGGAATGAAACCAATTTATAGGAAATATTCCAGGAACGTGAAGCAACTCCAGTGATACACATGAACACACTGCCTGCTCAGTAGTCCTATCAGTAACTTCTAGCTACAATAACCAAGATACTAAGTCTTGCAAAAACTGTTAAATCAATTACATACTTCAAAGACTGTCACTTAAAACACTGTCCTACTTTGTTAATCAGCAGGAAAATGCACTGGGGAAGGGGGAGGGGAGATTCTCTTTTATATAACTCGGCTCTAAACAATAAAAAAGCACCACAATTTGGAATTTAGCACATAAATAAACCGACAATCAGTAAAGTTTAAATACAATTAATAATTTGATCAGTAAGATTCAAGATTCAATGCTTCGATACAATGCAAGATTCAATGCTTCAATAAAATTACTTTCACTACAGCAGTTGCATTTTCAACATTATCTATTTATTACTATTTATTTAATTTGTATCCCACTTTTGTTATTTTTACAAATAACTCATCAGGGTGGCAAACATATCCAACACACTTTATTCCTCCTATTTTCCCCACAACAACAACCATCCCCTGTGAAGTGGGTTGGGCTGAGAAAATGATTAGGCCAAAGTAACTCAACTGGCTTTCATGGCTAAGGTGGGATTAGAACTCATGGCCTCCCACTTTCTAGCCTGATGCCTGAACCATTAGACCAGGGATCTCCAAACTTGGCAACTTTAAGACTTGAGGATTTCAACTCCCAGAATTCTCCAGCCAGCATAGAGTTGAAGTCCACAAGTTTTAAAGTTGCCAAGTTTGAAGACCTCTGCACTAGACCAACCTGGCTCTCTAACTCTGTTTGTCTAAAAGCTTTGTACCAGTACTCTCTTTCCAGGCCAAGTGGATTTCATGCACCAACCCAGATTTTTCTCACCAGATGTTGCTAGTCTTAGTCTGGTCGACGATCAGCAGGTTGCCATGGACTTCGTCAATCAATTCAGGGGCTACCCAGCGTAATGGAACCCATAGTTGGTCAGTGGTCACAAAGTAGTCATCCTGAGAGGCATGCAGGGCCAAAGGGAGAGCACATCAATCAAACCAGCAACAACAACAACACCTGCCCCCCTCATTCCTGGTCCTAAGTCGGAGCTGCCAAACCCTTTTGCCCAAGAAAAATAGGGTTGGCACTACTGAACATCTCCACCCATTGCTTCTGGCCCTTTCACCTCTCCAACTCAGTCATCCAGCCCTTGTTTATTAATTTTTATTTTATTTGAAATACTAGCCCGCCTTGCAGAATACAGATTTTTCCCAAAGCATCTTATGGAATAAACGAACAAATCTATACAATTTAAATAAAAGTTATGAGATTAAAGCAAACCCCATCACCACCACCACCCAAAAGAAACCTCCCCTAAAAACACGAGTTAAGGGAAGATCATAGAAAGTCTTTCAAAGGGTAGCGATGGGGGTTCCTGAACTTCATTTGTCAGGATCATTCAAGAGATATGTGTCTATAGGTCCAGAAAGGTCTTTTCTCTTGCAGCTGCCAATATGATTGCTCCCAAGAGTGAGGGCAATAAGAAAAGTCTTCTTTGCAGTCTTAAAGTATGAGCAAGTGGGTGCAGGTGCTTCATTAAGTTAGAGGGCTTAGATTTTAAGGGTGTTTTTTTTTTAATATTACAAAGAGCACATTAAATGCAGCTTGGAAATGCACTGAGAGATTCACCTCATTTCCAACAATGCTGGCCCAGCCATCTTCTGCATCAGCTTAAATGTTTGAACCACCTTTAAAGGCAGACATATAAATATAAAATATTTATATATGAATGAGAAAAACGTATTCCCGTGTATATATGCATAAGACCCTGTGCATGAATGTGCATTAGCTTCCCTTGGTATATTGTGTCTTGTATTTGTCTCTTACCCATTTCCCCCTCCTTCCTGGGGATCTTCTCTCAACCCCTCCCTGAAAGAGAGCTGCTTTCATTGTCAGCCTTTCAGGTCCTCTCTAAATCCTGCCAATAGCAAGTGCTCTCACTCCCTGTCTATCCCCCCCCCTGCTCCACCCCCCACCAGCTCCCTGCCCCCAAACACACTTACTTTGTATTTGCAGTGAGAAAGGCCATAGTCACCAATTTTAACAGTAAGGTCAGCTGTGAGTAAGCAGTTCCGCAAGGCCAAGTCACTAGACAAAAGAAATATCCAACAGAGTTTATCCATGAAGCATCAAAGGGCCATTATGATGCAGATTAGATTAGCAGCAGAACTCCTAAACCAGGAGTGGCAACTGTTGTGCAGGGCAGAATTGCTACTCAGTCTTTATTGCTTAGCTTATCAAAGGCAACAAGGAATATCTCTGATTAGCCCTGGAAATATGTCAAGAAAGGAATCCTCAGAAAGAAGCAGAGTTGGAAAGCCAAGCCACAACAATACAACAACATACCAACTGGGATAGGTTCTGCTTTCTCTCAGCCTCTCAGCTTGATTTTCTAGCAAGACCCTCCTACCATAAAACCATGTGTTTAAGGGCACACCCTTTTGATTGACAGATGGAAGCCACTGATCCCCTGTAGGGTTTTCTAGGCCAGACCTGAGCATGGTCTACCAACTTTAAGAATGACACAGAAAACAGGTATCCATAATAACGAGAGGAACCCACTTCCTTCTCTATTAATGACTCTGCACTCTGCAAGATTTAACAAAACCATGCCACATCAAATCTCCGTTTCTCATTCTAGTTGTTTTAAAAGAAAACCACTGCATGTTTATCCACAAACCCTGAATGCAGGTAGTCCTCCACTTACAAACACCACTGAGTCTAAAATTTATATTGCTAAATGAGACATTTGCTAAGTGAGTTTTGCCCCATTTTATGACCTTTTCCCACAATTGTTAAGTGAATCACTGCAGTTGTTAAGTTAGTAACATGATTGTTAAGTGATTCTGGTTTCCCCATTGATTTTGCTTGTCAGAAGGTTGCAAAACGGGAATCATAAGAACCAGGGACACTACAACCGTCATAAATATGAGTCAGTTGCCAAGCATCTAAATTTTGATCATGTGACCATGGCGATGCTTCAATGGTTGTAAGTGTGAAAAACGGTCATAGGTCCCTTTTTTCTGTGCTGTTGTAACTTCAAATGTCCCTGAATGAACTGTTGTAAGTCGAGGACTACCCATACTGTTCTTTAACATAGGTAGGGGATTCTCAGAGCAGAGATGCTCCCCTGGGTAAGCACATTAACTCTAATTTTAATGAGCTGAATCACAAAAAGGAGTTGCCCATCTTGATTCTGCTTGGACCCTTACCCTGTCCTCTAGCTATTTCCTTCAGGAAAAAATGTCTCCACGAAACATGTGGTAAATGGCCATGTCACAGAGGGCTTTTTGGGGGGGAAAAAACCCACCAAAATAAAAGGCAATTTCAGCCTTTCCTTCCCACTGCTGGCACCTAATTTTCTATCAGTGACCATGATGGTAGTTATAGCTATTCTTCCAACTGCATGAAAACATGCTATGATATGTGGTATCGATCACGTTTGCTCAATATCTATTTTTGCATCTTTGCTATTTCAGAAGAACTGCTGAGCTCAACAATCACAATAGCTGCCTTCTTTTTTTATTTTAGGAGAGATTTTAATACAGCACAAATGGGCCTGTTTCTCTATGTGACATTTCAAACATCACTCAATCAAATTTTTATATCCCCTGAAATATAATGCCGGTTTTTATAGCTATGTTAACTATGAAGAGAGAAAGGAGAGAAAGGGGGAGGGAGGAGAGAGAGGGAGAGAAAGAGAGGGAGAGAAAGAGAAGCGTGTCAAAGCAGCAAATGGCTTATCTTCTAGGCACTATTCCCTTCCAGAGGCATCTACAGCATCCCTGTCTTCTGTCCATAAAAGATGGTCCAGGAGATGGCAAAGCACCCCCTCTTCAACAAAATCACTGATGCTGGAGTCTCTGAGTGCCACTCACTCAGCACCAGGATATTGTTGACGGGGAGGAACGGGTGATAAGAAGAGAGCAGGAACAGCAGAGGTAATCCAAGCTCGTCGGGTTTCTTGCTGGAAGCCAAATGCTGCAACCCATCTTCCCAGACAAGACCACAGGAAGGGGAAACGCTGGTTGGAAAGTCAATGTTACGAAGAGCATGCCCTGTGTATCCCTGCCTAAACACATACAAACTTCAGTTACCACAATACACTATTTCCCCCAAAATAAGCCCTCCCCGGATAATAAGCCCAATTGGGCTTTTGAGTGCATGCGCTAAAATAAGCCCTCCCCTGAAAATAAGTCCTCCCCAAAAATGTTGGAACACAGCAGCAGCCACGAGGTAACCATACTTGCTGCCTCCTGCACCTCAAAAAAAATAAGACCTCACTGAAAATAAGGCCAAACGCTTATTTCGGAGGTCAAAGAAAATAAGACCCTGTCTTATTTTCAGGGAAACACGGTACATCAGGGCTCAAATTTCTCCTTTGGGGCATAACTCCTCCCAAGAACCTTGGTTTCTTATTCCCAGCCCCTTGCCAGTTCTTTTTAAGGCAAAGGCTGCATTCAAATAATCAACATGCGTTCAAGAAAAGAAGATGGAACCATAAAGAAAAAGAGAGTAGGGGCAGAATAAAAAAAGATAGGGGACACATTAATATTTAATACGTATGGTAAACGAGTAAGTGTAAGAAATACTCAGGTACTGCCTGTAGCCAGCCAGATAATTGTAAAAAAAAATAATAATCCAGAAGGGGGCATGAAAGCCTTAGCAGCAGAACAGAATACCGTACTCTCATATGTATTTTTACTATCTTTGTCAAGTTTTTAAAAGCCCTCATGGGCAATTTTTGGTGCCAGAATTCTGCAATTTTTAAATGGGCACATTTATAGGCATGAAGAAATGCATTTAAAAGCATGAGAATGCTGCAATTGGAAGATAAATTCCAACATATTTCTGAAGATAAATGCAATACTTTTCTCGATATCTTATGTTTGTCGGCTTCTATTTTTTAATCCCAATCGTTTTAGAGAGCCTGCTTTCCAAATTTCAGCAGGAGATGCCATCATTTAATAGGGAATGAGGCGGGGCATGACACACAGCCCATGAATTGCCAATCCATGCTTTTGAAAATTTGTTTTTGGGAAAAGACATGCCCTTGGATTATCCCCACTTCCACTCCTAGTCACCAGGCCTCAGATAATATCATACGAAATATCATCGTCATCATCAAGGCAGTGGTGATACGGAAGGGTCCCTAATTCAACGGCAGAAGATGAAGCAGATGAAGTCCTAGAATCTCCAGGTAAGACTAGAAAAGATTCCTCTCTCAAATCCTGGGAAAAGATTAGGCCTTAACCCTAAAGTAGTACAGGTAGTCCTCGACTTACAACAGCTCGTTTAGTCACCGTTCAAAGTTACAACGGCACTGAAAAAACTGACCTATGACCGTTTTTCACACTTACAAATGTTGCAGCATCCCCCTGGTCACATGATCCAAATTAAAACGCTTGGCAACTGGTTCATATTTATGACGGTGGCAGTGTCCCGAGCTCACGTGATTTACCTTTTGCGACCTTCTGGTAAGCAAAACCAAAGGGGAAGCCAGATCCACTTAACAACCATGTTACTAACTTAACAACTGCATTGAGTCACTTAACAGTGGTGGCAAAAAAGGTTGTAAAATCGGCCAAAACTCACTAAACAAATGCCTTGCTTCAGAATATAAATTTTGGGCTCAATTGTGGTCATAAGTCGAGGACTACCTGTATGTCTAAAGATCTATGGATGTATGGATAGCTACTGCAGGAGAGCTTTGAAAACAGCATTTGCTGCTCCTTCCTTATTTGCTAAGTTCTCCAGCTATCCATCTTCACTCTGCTAATTCTGGAAGAGAACTGTTTTCCATTCTCTTTTTACGCCCTTAACTTGATAAGCATGACAAGCAAACAAATCTTCTCAACTTACCTATGGACATAGTTGTTGCGGTGAAGATGCATCAAGCCACAGGATACCTCGCAGGCCATGCGTTGCAGTGTCAAAGGATCAGGTGCCAGAGCCTCTGCAGCATGGCAGCTTCGTAGGTAGCCCTTCAGGTCACCCTGTTGGGGTGGCAGACAGTAGCATTACCCACAGCCGTAACTGCTTAAAGATCTCTCTGTGAAGGGTGAGTGGTTGAAGAAGAATAAGGCGGGAGTGGGTGGGTGGGTGGGGAAGCATTTCTGCAATGGGGTCAAAAAATGAGACCGTGATCTCAAGACAGAAGAGTGTTCAAGAATTCCTAGCCATATTGGAATTCTGTGTATCTGGGGAGACAGAAGAGAGCCTCTTATTTCAATTACATAGGTAAAAGAGGGGCATCTCTCCAAAGCAGCTCATTATAGAGAGAATGAAAAGGTACACTTCTGTAAGCTAGAAACATACCTGCTGAAGCATTGGTTTCAGATGACCCCAGCAAGAGTCAGGAGACAAGACAACTCAACAAGGTGAAGGTAAAGGTTCCCCTTGTACATATGTGCTAGTCATTCCCGACTCTAGGGGTGGTGCTCATCTCCGTTTCAAAGCCGAAGAGCCAGCGCTGTCCGAAGACGTCTCCGTGGTCATGTGGCCAGCATGACTAAACGCCGAAGGCACATGGAACGCTGTTACCTTCCCACCAAAGGTGATCCCTATTTTTCTACTTCCATTTTTACGTGTTTTTGAACTGTTAGGTTGGCAGAAGCTGGGACAAATAATGGGAGCTCACGCCGTTACGCGGCGCTAGGGATTCGAACCACCGAACTTTCTGATTGACAAGCTCAGTCTCTTAGCCACTGAGCCACAACTCAACAAAAGGAACAGCTCTTTAACCCAACCACACTTTTGTCCTTTTCCTGTCCCAAAGCTGAGGGGGAAGAAGGAAAATTGTATTTTCTCCCTCTATTTAATGGACTTACCAATGGGCAAAATTCCATAACCAGCAGATAGGGCGTCACCTCTGCACACTGAGCCAAGCACTGCAGGAGATTGGTATGCTGGAGTGCCCTGGGCAGAAAGGTAAGAGGTGCAAGTGAGACTGGAAGGAAACAAGCAAGTGGCAGAGTCTAGAGCCAAACGAGAGAGGGCTTAGGAAACTTTGCAGACCTGGCAGGGGATTTGGGTCATGATGGGTTGAGGTGCATCAGCATTCTAAAGTGAGATAAATCAAAGGGCTAAAGCAGTGAGAGAACAGCTAAAGATCAAGCAGGGACAGGGAGATCATAGCTAAGAAGCAGTACACTAGGCTTACAGGTGACACCCCAACTCAGTTAGTTGAGAAAGGATTTTCTTTGAAGGTGCTTCTTTTCTGTTTTCAATTAACTTTCACACCAGTTTATATAAGGACACGGAAAGGTTCCTATGATGCAACCACAAACTGGCACTGAATAAATGGGTCCCAAGCAGTGCCAGCTACCTCATAAACAATAAGGACTGTTTGTTCACGAGTCAGTAAAGTAATTCATTGCTTCCCCAGCACTGTCCCTCCCCTTCTGTGCATCTTGGTCAGATTCTCTGGATCCAACAACAGATTTATTTGCTACTCGAGGATTCAAAGTGGGAGAGCAGGTGTAATACTGAATATGCTATATTGACATTTCAGAAGCTAAAAACAATACCAGCCCTACTTAGCCCTTAGGTAGTACCTAGGAAGCACCTGTAGGTTTGACTAAGAAGCAGAAAAAACCACCCTGAAAAAAGACAACAGCAAACTACATTTTGTAAAACTGCCATAAAAACACTCTGGATGTATAATAATCAAGAATTCAAGGATACCTTTATTTCCAATCTTATCCCTAGCTTTCCTTTGAGGATTACAAGCATGTAGAGCCTCTCATAACTTCTCAATATCATTTCTTTGAGGGAGGGACACCATAAAAGATGCACATTTTCAAAGTCCTCAACCGTGCAAGATTTTAATAATCTTAACTGAAATTTCATATTGGGTAAGAAGGCTGAAATTTGCCAGTTCTCAAAGAAATACAAAAAACTTATATTTGGGTCATTTAATGTTTTAAACTTAACATTTTCATTTTATATAAGAAGAGTATGAGTGCTACATTCAGGAAGCTCTGAACTTCACCAATCTCTCTTTTACTCTTTTGTCAGTGTCAGATCAAATTACAGTCTGAAAGCTGCTTCTTGATACTGATGCTTTGATCTAGAGCAGTGTTTCTCAACCTTGGCAACTTGAAGATGTCTGGACTTCAACTCCCAGAATTCCCCAGCCAGCATTCGCTGGCTGGGGAATTCT